TTGTGTTTATTTTTAAGTTTGACCTACTTTCCATTCCTAAAGCAGGTGAGAACGGACAGGGGCAGGCCGCCTCTGCAGACTCAGGGGGAACACACGGAGAGGTCAGGGCCCTGATGGCGCCTGGCGACTCTCAAAGCTGGAGAAGCGCAGCAAGGCGAAGCCCAGCAGCAGCGGCCTGTGGAATGCCGCCAGGGAGATCAGAGCACGGTTTCAGCAAAAATAAGCCGAGAGACACTTTTAGGAAAGCTCCTTTATTTTGATGGAAATCTGATACAGTAATTGGATTTTGCAAAAGTTTGTTGTGAATAAAGCATCTTCATGACAAGCTTCCAAACTCAGAAATTTGAAGCCAAAAGGTATTTACCAGTCCTTAGGTTAAAAAATGGAGTTTGAAGGAGATGGGGGCTGAGGGCAGAGAGAGAGAGAGAAACAGCTCACTGACTGATTACAGCCATGTCTGCCCTCCACAGCCATCTGCTATCACAGGTTTTTGATCAATAAAAAGCTACTTTAAGCATTGCTCCTTCCTCTGCTGAGGTGAGTACATATTTGTCTTGAGTGTGCAAATAATCTCATTTTCAGCTACTCCAGCACCAAGAGATGGAAGCTGGGTCTGCCAGAAAAATCTCGTGGTCACCCAGCGTGATGTCCAGTTCTAAATATTGGGCACCCAGACTGCCTTTCCCGGGCTTGGAAACGTGGTCTGTGCGGCCCACTGGCTGGCCTTCCCCAGAGGAAAACCTAAAGCTCTCGTTTCCCAGGTGCCCCATTGTTTGCTCTTACATTTTTCTCCTGGTGACAAAGTAGAGGAGGTTTTTAACAAACCTTTTTTCATAGATGACTAAAAATTGCCTATTACATTTTGGACAGTGGAAAATAAAAACACTCTTTTTAAAAAACTCATTCTGCACAAGGGAAACTTATTTTTAACCCCTGGCATGCTGCATTAGGTCCTTGAGCTATTTTCTGCTTGAATTGGAAGCCTTGGAGGATGCACAGGCTAGGAGCCGGTGGGGTCTGCAGGACACTCTCGGGGGCAAGTAACTCATTATGCCACACAGGTCCTGTCCACGACTCTGCTTCAGAAGGAAGGAGGTTCTCTGGAGCTCTGTGTTGGTGGGTGATGCTGCAGCTGCGGATTATGCTAATTCCTGCTTACTTGCAAATAGGCCTGTGTTTATTTTGTGCCTCACCAGCTGCCCACAAAGACATTTTGGGAATGATTCCCATATTTAAAGGCAGACTGTGTTCTGGTGTCCCACTGTGAGCTGCCCCTGCAGGAAGCCCACCGGGGGCTGTGGGGAGAGCACTGGTGTGGGAGAGGTGGGCTGGGGGGCTCTCCTGTCACCTCGCCACCCTGTCTCTGCCCCTCACCTGTGCGCCATCTCACACCAGTTGGAGGCTCTCCAGCTCCTCCCCAGGAGCCTAACTTGCTGCTCCCCCGTTCCTCGTGGATGGGGGAAGGTCTCCCTCATGGTGCTTGGGGACAGTGATGATTTCACTGCTTCATGATAGAAGTTGGAGGAAACATCCTTTCAAAGTGGAAATTCTAACATCTCTAGAGACTCTCTGTCCCTGTGCCTTTGAAAGTCTGCTTGCTTTCCATCAGGCTGGGAAGCAGACAAGGTTTCAGAGGCAGATAACGGTGTTCCTGATCTCGCTTTAGGGCTGTACTTTCTACGTTACAGTCCAGATTGGGTTTTATTTAATTTTGTAGAAGAAATAGAGGGGATTTTAGTTAGCGTTTGGAATGAATGTTACTTAAAATAAAAAGGGAGAGTTAGTAAATCAAAAAGCATTCAATTTCTACTGATTTTGTCCCTTCTAACTATTGTCCCTGCTCAGCCATCTTTACAGTTCAGTGGATTTAGGTCTAAGAAGCTCTTGGGCCCTCTCCCCATGTCCGTGCAAACACACTCACCTCTCAGGGACCCATGGCCTACCTTCACAGGCTCCATCTCCATTTCCTCAAGGACAATGGAGCAGAGGAAGAGCCCGTGTGCTTGAGGCTCCCTTGAAAGAGACCACAGCACCCCTGAAACCCTGTGAAGGTCACACCGCAGACTGCCTGAGGCAGGACTCAGCGCCAAGCACCAGCCCCTCCAGAGCCCTCCCATCCCGAATGATGAAGACACCCTCAATGGGTGATGTGCTCCAGTACTACCTCCTCGTCGCCATCTCTGGGTGGCGCCTTGTGCTGACCTCCGGGACAAACCAACTAGATCCTTCCCTAAAGGAACTAAGAGAGTAAGAAATACCAACAAATCCTGGCTGGCCCTCACCCTTCTTTGGGGAGGGGTGGGATGAGCAAAGCTGGGAATGCTTTTTACAGTATGTGGGGCAGAGGTGATCAGTAACAGTTAACATTAAGCAGGAGTAATGAGTGGGGATGGTGTGTGAAGGAGTTTCAAGGAAAGCTCAATACTTCTGTGGAGAACCTATATCACATGGATCCAGGTGTGTATCCTACCACTACCACCCAATAACTGTGTGCATTAGTCTGTTTTTCATGACTATAACATAATTCCTGAAGCCAATTACTTATGAAGGAAAAAAAGCTTTGGGGGCTCATGTAAATATGATCAATTGATCTTTGACAAGGAAGCAAGGCAACACAATGGGGAGAAGAGATCCATCTTTTCACCAAATGGCATGAGCACATCTAGACTTCCACATGCAAATAAAAAATAGAAAAGAATCTAAACACAGACTTGCATTCTTCAAGAACATTAACTCAGGACGATTAGACCTAAATGTGAACTTGAAACTCCTAGAAGATAACATAGGAGAAAAAGCTAGATGGCTTTAGGTGTGGTAACAACATTTCAGATTCAACACCCAAGAATGACCAAGAAAAGAAAACTAGTGAGCTGGATTTCATTAAGATTAAACCTGCCCTTTGGAAAACACTGCCAATAAAATAAGAATGCAGGCCATGGGCTGGCAGGAAATATTTGCAAAAGATACATTTCAGAGAGACTTGTTATCCAAATATGCAAAGAATTCTTAAAACTCATCAATAAGAAAAGAAACAGCCTGGTTTAAAAACGAGGAGCATGTCAGATCGCCAGTGAGCTCATGAACGAATATTCCACATCCCAGGGCAACAGGAATCTCAAGCCACAGCACCACCGAGAAGCTCTGCACACCAACTGGAACAGCCCAGAGCCAAAGTACCCGTAAGAGCAGGTGCTGGTGAAGAGGTGGAGGGTCAGAGCACTCAGCAGCTCCTGGTGGGAGAACCCAGTGTGCAATCACTTTGGAAGACAGTTTGACAGCTTATTACCCAAGTGACTATGCTCTGACCGCACAACCAGCTGTTTTGCTCCTTGGTATTTACCCACATTGATTGAACACTATGTCCACACAAAACCGGCACACAGTTGTTTGGAGAAATATCATCCATAGTTACCAAGGTTTGGAAGCAATCAAATGTCCTCCAGTAGATGATAAATAAGTGGTGTTGTATCCAGAAAATGGAATGTTACTCAATGCAAAAGAAAAATGAGTTAATGGGTCACCAAGTCATGAAAAGACATGTGGAAAACTTCAATGCATATTACTAAGTGAAAGCGGTCAATCAGGAAAGCTCCACACTGTAACCATAGCAACTTAGTGAGACCCTGACTCCAAACAAAAATAAAAAGGAATGGGGATGTAACTCAGTAGTAGAATACCCTGGGTTCAGCCCCAAGAAAGAGAGAGAGAGAGAGAGAGAGAGAGAGACTACATTGAAAGTGAATTAAAGATACAGTATGTGAGAGAGGAAAGAGAAGAAGAGAGAGGGAGAGAGAGAGAGAGAGAGAGAGAGAGAGAGAGAGAATTTGAAAAACACAACACATGATCACTTCCAGCAGTGGGGATGGAAATGGCCCGCATCTTGACAGTACTGATGTCAAATGCTTGTCCATCACGACAGAACTGACAGAACTACGCTTCACCTCGACTCCAGATCTGTGCTTAGAGATCCCTTCCTGTCACCCTGTTTAAAATAACAGATCCTCCACAGTACCCTTATTCTGCTTTATTTCTTTATAGCACTTATTACAACAAAAACTTCCCTCCAACGTTCCCTGGATTATGTGTTTATTGATAATTCCCTTCCCTAATATAGGTTTCCCCAGAGCATGAACCATGTCCTGCGCCTGGTAACTGCTCAAAATCTGTTTAGTGAGTGAACACACAAGTGTGTAGATTTAGTCATGAGGATGATGGTGATGATGATGATGGTGGTGATGGTGGTGATGGTGGTAATGATGGTGGTGATAATGAAAAGATGAAAGTGACGTGACAGTGACAGTGATAGTGATGATTATTTACAAAAGGTGTATCTAAGGTAGGTCACATCACTGTCTCTGAAGTTCAGTCATATAGTTGGCACTTTGCCTTCTAAACTTCTACACTGTAGTCAGTAGACCCCAACCTCTACTGAGGATGTGGCTTAGATGTGCCCCAAGGTGTTGAAATTGCATTTTAAGTTGGAGCCAGCAAACTTTCAGAACACAGGCCTCATCATCAACAGGCACAACTGGTCATGGGTGGAAGGCCCCACCCGGCAGTGAAAAGATCCATCACCGGCCCTCCTCGTCAGAGCAGTGGGGTGCTGGATTATAAAGGGAGGTCAGACTAGCTGTTGCTCCAAATGCATGGTGACAGGAGTCCTGGCTAAAGCAAGATAAGATGTATTGTCTTCTCACAGAGTTAGAATGGATGCTCTAGTCTAACAGGGTCTCTCTTCCAGGTCCCTGATGAAGTCTCCTTCCAGGTCACAGCCCCACCACCTTCAAGCAGCTACATGCCTGCCATGCTCAGCCAAGGCGCACAGTGCAGGGGAAGTGACACAAGACTGTGGGTGGGGTTCTGAGGGGCAGGGCTGGATGAGGCTCACCTTGATTCTACTCTCATCTCATTGGCTAATACTCAGGCATGTAGCCACATCCAACTGTCACAGAGGCTGAGGAATGTCACCCAGCTCTGTGTCCAGGGAAAAGGGGTGCATGTTCAGGAACTGCAGAGATGGGCTCCTCGAATGGCAGGGGGATTCCCCACGGAGCATCTCAGGCCCTGCTCAGAGGGCATATTTTCTTCTCCATAATCTTCACATTTAACCCCCTACAGAACTCGAAGGCAAGGGCCCATTTTTCATCCCACTTTGTAAAAATCAGACTGAGGCTTAGAGGCATTAGGAATATTCCCCAGGTCACCAAGATACAAACTGGAAAAACCAGAACAAAAATTAAGGTTTCATCCCAAAGCCTAGGTAGCTCTTTAGCACTGCGTCGTGCGACTACATAGATTATACAGGTACATAGTTATGGGACTCATAAGACCCCCGGCTTCCTTCATCCCACGGGTTTGTGAGGAAGTTCTGAGCGTGCTCCTAACCTTGAGCACAGCTGCTCTTCCTTGGAATAGATTCTTTCTGTTCTGAGCTGCTACAAGTCTCAACTGAAGGCAGAGCCTTGCTGGGAACTTCAGAGTGGACATTCAGGTCTGGCTGCAGTCCCCTTTATAACCAATCAGTTATTTACAAAAGATCGTCTGTGGCTAGTGTTTGGTAATTTCTGGGAAAGGCTCATCCCATAACAATTCTAGGCTGAAACACATATGGAGAAAGCCAAGCCTGATCTAAACTGAATTTTGAATGCCCACTATCCTCCTTTACAAAACTCACTCAGCCACCCCGAAAACTTTCTCCCCCCTAAAGAAGATGTGACCATGAAAGACCACCTGGCCCTCTGTGTCCACAAAAGCCCTTCATCATCAACCTGCCCTTCAGTCCCTTCCTAGTGTCTATAATTTTCTGTTTTCAGTGAGTGAGAAACATAGCATGAACATGCAATAGGAAGAGACCAGTAATGGAGACAAAGAAGAAAGTCGGGGCCCTTGGGGGTGAAAGAGAAGGAACAGCAGGAAAGAGAACAAGTTGCCCTCAACCAGGAGGGCAGATGGCATTTCTCACCTTAACGTAGGCAGACCTGGTTACAAGACTGAAAACACGTCTCCTTCTAAGGGTGCTTCCAGCCTACACATCACGAGCCTCATCATTAACCGCTCCCCCTCCTGTATCCTCCCCATGGGCAGGTTTGGCCCCAGCAGTTCTGAGCATCAGGCACAGCCATGGAGGTAGATGCTGCTATGGTTTGCAGCAACCTGGACACACTCATGCAGGCCACCAGGACAACAAGGTCCACTTCTTGCTCTTGCCAGGTGCTTCCTATCTAAGCTCCCCTCACACCAAGTGTGGGGAACTTCTGTGCCCTTCATCCCAGGACTCGCAGTGAGTGGCCCTCACTCTGCAGCTGTAGTGCCCAGCACAGGAGAAGCAAGGCTTCTTCCTGTGAGTTCTGCCCAACCCAGAACTCAGGTAGGAGCCAGAGTCAATGGGTGGGTCACCCCTCCCTCTGCCTTCCCAGGGGACTGCAGAGACTGGGATCCCAGTGGACCTCATCCAGTGTGTGAACTAGTTGAACGGTTTCAACAGATTGTTTCTAAAATCTCCTTTGGTTCTAATACCTGACTTAACTTACTGTATAAATGAACAGACTTAGTCTCTTTCATATTGCATGAAATAGCAGACCTTCTGGGTCCACCTCTATTCAAAGCTCATGCTCTGACTGTGTCTTCTCATCATGACTAACCCAGGGAGTTCCATTTCCCCTGCAGCTGAGAGTAACATCACTCAAGAAGGTGCAGAGACCTTTCTGAGTCGGGGAACTTACAGTTCTCCCATAGCACAGCGCCCTCTGACAGAGCACAGGACTTCTGTCCTAGGAGGCTTCTCCAGATACACTGTCTTGCCTGCACTGGTTGGAAGGGGTTTGGAGACAGGTTTGGGGATGGGCAGTCTGTATTTTTCAGGATACTTTCTAACAGGACAAATACCAAAGCTCAACCTTTTTTATTTATTTAGGTAAACCTGATGAGTTAGTCAATTCCCTTGGATCTTACAGAGGCACCATCTGCAGTCTCTGGCCTCCAGAATCATTGAAGAATCCAGGGGACATCAGGAGGAGGCATGCAGCTCTTAGCCACCCCAATCTAGAAGTGACACACATCGCTTGCATTGATAGTCCACTGGTCAGGACCAGTCACATGACCTCTAACAACTGCAAGGAAAGCCAGGAGAACGACATGAGACATTTGAGGAGTACCCATTCCCCGTGCTGTTTACCACTCGATATTTTGGGTCTTATCAAATGCTTTATTTGAACAGACCCCGGGGACAGGGCTAAAGTCTGGGGAAGACCTTTCTTAATCTTTCAACGAAAGATTAAAAGCAAGAAGGCCCAGGGGAGAGAGAGGCTCAGAGGCCCTGGTGGGTCAGCATCGTAGCCCCTGGAACTCTTCTCAATAAGCCTCTAGCGGCTGCTCTGCTGAAGACCAAGCTCGGGGCCTCCAAGCACAAACAGAGGAAAGTTGATGGAGCCGTGGGCCACCCTGAGCTCACCTTGTCCTGTCTCATCCCAACAATTAGTGCTCAGTCAGAGGATACTGTGGTGCAGGAGCACTTGGGCTCTCCTCCCCCTGTGGGTTCTTCTGCCATCCGAGCGAGAGGGAAGGTGAGCTCTGCCCCCACAGCTCAGTGGTGTCGTCCATGAGGGAGTGCAACTTTTCCAGACCCAAACCATCCCTCCTGGAGGAGCCGGGCTGCAGGGTCCAGACCCTGGGTGGCTCCAGGGAGCCTTGCTTCTCCTGTGCTGGGCACTGCAGCCGCAGAGTGAGGGCTGCTCGCTGTGAGTCCTGGGATGAAGGGTATAGGAGTTCCCCACACTTGTGTGAGGTGAGCTCAGATGGGAAGCACCCAGCAAGAGTAAGGCTGACTGCCCCACCTCCTCCCTCCTCCCCGCTCCACACAGCTCACGGAAGTCTTCATATCAACTTTTCTATTGCACAGAACCTAGTTATAGTATGATTTGTAATCACCCATGCACACCTGCGTGCACACATGCACAACAGCTGAGGAGAAAAGCCACCACGTCTGCTCTGCTCAATGTGTTGGTTCTACACATGGAAAAGCAATGGAATTGGCACAGACAGGTGTGATTGGCACAGCTGGCAAAGATACACAGCAGCTCTGTTAGGTATGGACAGTGCACTTCTCAAATCACAGAGGAAAAAATAGCCCCAGGTGCCCACTCTCCGTGGTCTCATCCCACTCTCCAAAAGAACATCACTGCATATGCAATGCCAGTCTCAGGATGCAGCAGTGCCCAGGAGCCAGGTCTGGATGTCACTGAGTGGCGTACAGTCCCCTCCCTCCATCCTGAGACAGGCAGGCCAGGAATGCCCATCCCTCACAGAAGCCAGGAGAGCTTATTATTTACAAATATGTGTTTGTGGGTGCATGTGTTTCTTTTGTGCCTAAAACAGTCATACAGGGCAGGTGGGAGCGACTCAGGAGACAGGCTGAGCAGGAGGATCAGAAGCATTTCTGCCAAGGCAGCTTGGTTCTAGGTCAAGCTCTGCTGCGTGACTGTGTGGACATGCGGGGTCTTCAGGGCTCCATGGTGAGGGCTCTCCCTGCCCCGGCCCACACGGTGCTCGTAAATACTGTGGAATAGATGTGAACACGTGTGCGCCAGGCTCCTGCAGGAAGACAGGGAAGGTTCTGTGGCCTTTAACCACACGAGCTCCAGGTTGGTTCTGGAGTCGGATGGGAAGCAAGTGTCCTGGTGGTGCTCCTCACGGCTTGCAGGCATGTCCCCGTATTTTCCAGAACCCAAGGTGACTCCACACACCTATGGCCACACAGGCGCTTCCTAAAGAAACATCACGGGCCCCTATGCAGGGTTAACCACATCTCCACGGTGACTCCCTGAGACTAGGCACAAGTTAAGGAGTATCAAGGACAGTGGCTTCTGGAATCCGGGCAGCCAGCTTCCTGCCTGTCTTCTTGTCTCAGCTGTACAACATGGGCAGCTGCTTAAGGGTCCACTGATTTCAGAACACTTTGAATATTACTTGTATTGACAACATCTCTAGTTCATAGCTCTGCTGTGACAAGGACAGCACTGAGACCTGAGCTTGCTCACAGCAAAGGCTCCTAAACAACTAGTCTCTCTGTTGTGAAGTCTCTTAACCACTCTCTGTCTGGGGTGCTGAGCAGATATCAAACACAACCGCATCTGAGGTCTTAAAACCAACGTGGGGATCCACGAGATGTCGTGTCAGTCCTGAGGTAAGGAGTCCAGGGTTAGTGGCACATCTGCCAGAAAGCAAACATACCAAAACATAAAACATACCAAAAACAGAAGACATACAAGTTGTATTTTCACTTTTGAGATCATTTTAAAATATCAGATTTTCTAAAAATAAGCATTTAATGACAGAGAAATGCTTAAAATATGCTGAAGTTCAGAAGTTAACAAGTTCTTCTTTTAAAAAGCAGTAAAAACTCTTCAAAAGCCCATGAATGGGCTGGGCACCGTGGCACATGCCTGTAATCCCAGTGCTCAGGAGGCTGAGTCAGGAGGATCGTGAGTTCAAAGCCAGCCTCAGCAAAAGCAAGGCCTTAAGTAACTCAGTGAGATCCTGTCTCTAAATAAAATACAAAATAGGGCTGGGGATGTGGCTCAGTGGTTGAGTGCCCCTGAGTTCAATCTCTGATTCCAAAAAAACCCCACCCATTAATGTTATTTACAAATATGTGTTTGTGGGTGCATGTTTCTTTTGTGCCTAAAACAGTCATACATTAATAACCTATAAAGTACAGGAGTGTCTCTATTGGGAATCAAGATGATTTTTCTTTTCTTTTTAAATTTTTCTTAAGTTTCAATGTTTTCTATGATAAACGTATATGCTTTAATAACTATGAGGTCTTCAACAGTAAATCAATGGTAAGTCACCTGATATGGCCATCCTTGGCAATGCAGAAATACAACTGGCACTTTAAGCCAACCATCCACATGGCAGCCGCCACTTGGAACTCTTTGGGGACAGCTGTCATGCATAGGACTGGCAAGATAGGAAATACGTGATCTGGGTACAATAGGACACGTTCCATTATTGCTAAGGTGCCACAGACAAAATTATCATGCTCTCAACTATTTTTTGTTCCATTTAATTTTAGAGCAGAACATCGGGCCCAATTTATCAGGATCTTATTTATTACCGATTAGTAAGACACCAAATGACGACAGAGGGGGGAGTTTCACATTCGCTCTCACCGCGTGAGCAATGCCTCCGTTCCGCTGATGGTGCGATTCCTTTCTTCCCTCATCAAGTGCAGCTCCAAGGTTTGTCTCTGTGATGCACAGATGCCAGATGCTCTCCCTGATTAGTATTTCAAGCTCCATGGTGATGGTCCCCAAACTAGTGCAACAGTTCCCCAACATGAGGGCCTGGCCCCGTCCCCATCCCACACTCCATGGTGGCCCTTCCTCCTGACCTTCCCAGCTGCTGGCTTTGTTGACCAACCCTCGGGAAGCTATTTTTAGCATCTTCTACTGAATACTTGTTGACACGACTGTGTGTGTGAGTGGCAGCTGCGTGGGGACAGGGTCCTAAGACTCTGAGAATCAACCCTGGCGATGCTCATCCCATGGCACTTAGTCCCTCCCTGATCATCAAGTTCGCCTTCCAAGACATGGCAGGTGTCACATACAAAGGGTTTCCAATGCGTGTCTCTCTCCAAAATTCATGCATTGACACTTAACCCCAGTGAGGTGGCCTTGGCGGTTGGGCTCTTTATGGAGATAATTAGGTTTAGATGAGGTCAGGAGAGACTGCAGGGAGCTGGCTTTCTCTTCCTCCCCCCTCCACGTGAGGACAGCAGGAAGGTGGCCATCTGAAACCCAGGAAGAATGCCCTCACTAGGAACCAAGCATCCAGCTCCTTGACCCTGGACCTCCAGCCTCCAGAACTGAGAGAGATAAATGTCTGCTGTTTGACTCACTCAGTCTATGGTGTCTGCTTCAGCAGCCTGAGCTAGATAAGGTGCCACCAGCTTGAAGGCCAGCATGGCCCGTGACCTGCTGGGGCCTGTGAAAGGTAACCAGAAGGAACACATCACCAGTGGCAAGGAGCATCCGGAGTCGGTGGCTGCTCTGCAAATCTGTCTCCACCCAGCAGCACTGTCCAGCTGTGTGCCCACTGACAGTTCATCCTCAGCCTGGGACCTGGAGTGAAAGCAGGCAGGAAAAGCCCCCAACCCATTATATTCCATAGTTAAAATACTTTACATATATTTTTTGCAGATATCAAATATGACATGTAGAGAATGGAAATCTTAAATCTTCAAGATGACTTAAGACAGATGCAGCGAGTTTGGAAAGTTAAAAGTTAATCCTTCCAATTCCGCAGTGAAGGCAAGCAGGCACACAGCTCAGCAATGGCCCTGAGCTCTGGAGTGCCCTGGCCAGCAGTCCTAGCCCGGTTGGTTTCCACAGCTGCCCTCTGTGGCAGGACTTTTCAGTCCTCATTTTGCAGAACAAGAAATGAAGACTCAGAGAAATTAAGTCAGCACCCAACGTCACAAAGCTGATCCATAACAGAGCTGGAAATCCTACCTATATCTTGTAGAATCTGGATCTAACTGACATCTTTATCCTCTCCTGCTCCTACTAGAGAGCTAAAGCTACTCAAGGTCCTGCCTGGACATTCTTGGCAGTGGCCAACTATCTGTGTCCATTCAGGTTGCTAGAACAAAATAACAGTTCTGCAGGGCAGGAAGTCTGACATGGAAGTGTCAGAAGACTGGAGTTTAGTGGGGACCCACTTTCTAGTTCCTTGGTGTCTTTCTGCTGTGTCCTCACAAGCTGGAAGGGGGCAAGGAAAATCTCCAGGGTGTCATTTATGAATGCACTAATCCTACTATGAGGACATCACCCTTATGTCACAGTCACCTTCAAAGGCCACACCTCTTGACACCATCACACTTGCAGGGGACAAGATTTTAACTATGGGGGCCACACATTCAGACCACAGCCTCATATCAGACCTCGATTTTACCATCCATGGAAGGTGAAATGATACATGATACTAAGCCTGGATCACCCTATGATTAAGGATCACCATGGCAACCAGGCTGGACCTCTCTTCCAGACTTCAGCCCTGGGGTTTCTGGAACCATTTGTGGACCTGGTGCTGGAGGCAGAGGGATAGAAGGACAGTGTCCAGGGGCTGATGACGGCATGGCTACTTCCTTCCTGGCACAGACTCAGGATGTCTCCCTTCCAGAGCTACCAGAGCCAAGCAGCTTTGTGCTGACCCTTCTGGGCCCCATGTGGCAACATGGTAGAAAGAATAGACTGCAGAGCCGGAGACGGGCCCTGGTGCTCTCATTCCCACCTATGAAAAGCAGGCAGTAGCTTAACCTGTGTCCTTGTCTGTAAATGGGGTGTCCACAGTATCTACTCCAAATGCTTAAGAGCAAGAAACTAAACATGGGTGGTCCATAGCACCTGGCACCAGGTGAGGGCTCATTACCAGAACCAGCTTTTTCTGGTGTTCACAGGCCTGTTCTGAACCTCAACCCTTCCTCTGGACAAATGGCCAATCCCCTCTTTGTCTTTCCAGTTACACACTTGATATGGAGCTGCTGCCTTCATGTCAATTTTAAATCAGCATTAATGAACGGGCACATGGAGACCCTGGAACAGATGACGATTAGTCAGCGTCTTGTCCTCTCTCCCTCGTTCCCACTCAACACAGCCACTCAACGCTCCCGGCCTCCAGTCCTGTGCTAGGCTATTCTGCATGCACTTCCTGCTGCCTGTATTTCTGTCCCACCAGAGTCTCCAAGAATCTCTGCCTCCCACTCATCTTCAATGGTCTCCCCACCCTTAAATCGTTTATTATCAATCCTCATACTTGTCTCTGAAACTAACCCACCAGGATATCATCAAGGTGTGCTGGGATGGGAACAGGGTTAGAAAGCGTCAGCCACACAGGGAAATTAAAGAGGGCCCTCCTGGGTGGAGCAAACCCAGGGCATGGTTTGGACACTGGGGTGCAGCCAAGGAGCTGGTGGGTTTTGCAGCCTTTTGTGGCTATTTCCAGGCATGATTCACATAGTGGGTGGGAGTCTTAGACCACAGGGTCAGAAGTGTGCCCGGCACACAGTTATACTCATTTGCCACAAAACCTCTCCCAACTCCTCACTAAAATGTGAAATCAAAAAAAATACCAGAATTGTTTCTGAAGTGGTGAAATATATCTTCACACAGAGAACAGTGAGCATGAGCTCCCTCGATGACACCCAACACCAAGCGAAAACCAGAACATTCCTGCCCAGGTGGGGACCATGGATCACATCTCCTCCTCTGCCTCCCAGCAGCAGCCACGATCATTATTTTTAAAACAATCTTTGCTTTGCAGGACCAGGGGTAGGGCAGAGAGGTGAGGGAAAGTAGTAGTGCAGGAGAATGAAAAGGAGCAGGTAGGTCATGTGCATTTCTATGTATGTCACAATGAACCCACCACTACGTATGACCATAATGCACTCATCAACACAGGGAAGTCGCTTCCTTTTCTTTAGTTGCTTACCCCCACGACATGCATACACACAGACGCACAGACACATACAGAGTTTGGACTTTTGTGTATCAGATTTTGTTCTTGAAATCAAGAGTAAAAGACTCACCCAAGGTGAGAGATCCAAGTTCAGCTGCTTCCTTCTTGCCGCTGTGCTGTGCCAACTAATATATCTACTCACTCTCCTGTCAAAGCCACTATGATCCTTTCTAGGGTGAACTTGGTATCAGCTTCCTGATACATGATTCTTGCTCTGCACCCACAAGTGTTCCTCCAGGATACACCAGGGGTGAAGACCAAGGAGTGCAAGTAGTGGGTCACTGTGCATGACTATTCTCCTCCGCTAGGTCATCCCAAGTGTTTTCTTATGTGGCTGTACCAACTTACAGACCTACCCACAGATGAGATCTCCTTTCACTTCCTCAGGTTGGGAGAATTTTAAACTCTGAAACAATGGTTGCAGGACCTTACGTGTCAAGGAACTGGAGAAGGGCCCCGTCTCTTTGTCAGGCTGTCCAACAACTCACACGGTTGTGGAGAAGGTCTGTGGCCTGTGTAAGGAGAGCCCTCCAGAGCTGGTGACCTCCCCTCAGAGTTCTGTCCAAATACAACCCTTCAGGGCATTTCCTCAGTACTGTTTTTAAGACAACTCGTCTTGATTTATTGGGTGTTGGCGAGCACTGGCCCTCATCTAAATTGATCTAGGATTTCTTTGTTTTCTCATTTGTCATCTGTCTCACCCTGCAGGTGCATGCTGTCATCACACAGTAAGGTCACCATCAGCCACAGGGAGCTACTAAGCATGTGAAATGATCTAGTTCAAACTGAGAGGGGAGCATTGTAAATACATACACTGGACCCCCAGGATTTAGTGAAAAAGAGAAAAATAATAATTTGAATATATTGCTAGTGATTTTTAAAAAATATTTTAATTTATTGATAGACCTTTATTTATTCATTATTTATGTATATGTGGTGCTGAGAATCAAACCCAGTGCGCGACCACTGAGCCCCAGCCCATATTAGTAATTTTTATGGTAAAACACATAGAAATGAAAATGGTTTAGATAAATGGGTCAAATAAAATACATTACTAAAAACTAGTTTCTGTTCTGCTTTTAATGTGTAACAAACTACGCATGTGGCTCGGAGGTCAGTGCTGTGGAGACTGAGCTCCCCCAGGCCCCCACAGCCTCTCTCTCTTACAATCTTACCTCTCAAAGCATTTGTTAGAAAACTGGGGGATTTAAAGTACTTCCTCCTCTCTCTCTGAAAAGCACACACAACCTTCTGAAGACTCAATGGGCTCCAAGTCATCTTTATGACTTGGGAATGTCTTCCTGAAGGTCCTGGGAGCCATCTCTTTGGAAAGTAGACTTGGGAGGATAATGCCAGGTTCCCTATTTCTGTAGGAGGGACAGCTTAGCTCCCCCAAGTGCCCGTCTTTAAACTGCAAAGCCATCCTCTGTGACAAAGATATCAATCAGTGAGCTGCTTCTGTAGATAAAACCAAGTCGCAACAGAGATGTCGCCTGCCCCCCAACACCCGGTGAACTCAGGATGAGCTATGGACGACAGATGGTAACCTTGTGCCCTCTCACTTGGGGACCAGGTATCTAGTCCACGTATGCAGAGCACATAGTGTCCCCCGCTATGCAGAGATCTGTCTTCACAGCACCTTCACGGGTGGCCTGCAGAGTGCACCCCAGCGGCGGAGCACATATTCAATAATACAAATGATTTCTTCCACAACAGCCTTTGTGGTGGGATTATTGGCTTAAGAAAACTTGGTTTTTAATTCTATTCCAATGCTCCCTTCAAAACTGGAAACACTCTGGATGGCTGACTAGTTAAATGTCACCAAAAGGGAACAAGAATGGGGGAGGAGGATCAGTCAAGATTTCTTGAAAATAACAAATTCTTAAAAATTGGTCCTGTTATCTACAATCCCTTCTCCAAGTCTGCAGCCAACTAAGATGGCAGCTCAGCCCAGTGGCCTGCTGCCAGGAAAGATGGTAACCATTCGCTCTCAAAGGGAAATTTTCAAAGAAGGTTCAAATATATTAATAACCCTTCTGGACTCTTCCAAAGGGTACCTGGTCCCACCACCCCGCAGGCAGGTCCTACTTGCTGGGTGGCCAGCCAACCGGCCCCTGGCCTGTTCCGTGCCTGCGCAGGGGGCCCACCTGGCCCCACTCCGCCCTTCGTGCCCTCCCATTGTGAGCGCAGCCCGTGACAGGAGCTGGGGAGTCATCAGCTGGGTGGTTCCCTTGTCTTGACCACAGACGCCGCACCCAGGCAGTGCCAGACCCTCAAGGGACCCAGTGGGACTCCAGGGAGATAGGGGCAGGACGTCTTCACTTCCAGGCCTGAGCCCCCTAGGAGTGGGGCAGGTGGAGATTGAAGGACATGGACACACATGGGCTACCACACCTGTGGAGCGCAGGGACCCATGTAAACCCACAGGCAGCGTCGTGGACCACACTGGGCCGAGCATGAGTGGTGTGACCACCAGGAACCTAGAAGCCCACTGCGAGCATCAGGCTGTCCTGGTGGAGACCAGGCAGATGGCCACTGTGCTCCACATTCATGGGGGCCGCCAGGTGGACACAGGCTCAGGAGCAACTGACCTGGAACACCTTGCATCTCAGCTCGAGGGCTCTAAGGTCAAGGCCGCCTCCTGGGCTGCTGCAGGCCTGGCGTTGGCTCTACCCAGAACCCAGCTGCAGAGACTGAGAGTCCCCAAGAAGAGGCCAGGTGAGAGCATCCCTGGCGAGAGAAGGTGAGCACAGGTGGCTCCCCACACAGTGGCTTTCCACCAGCTATTCACAGGGCTCCCAACATGAGAATGATCGCCAGGCCCTCCTCTCCATCAGCTCTGAGTCTCTCCAAGCGCAAAACAGGGAAACAACTGAGCTGCAAAACCGGAGGAGAGCATACTGTGGGAACATGTGGCACTGCCCAAGGGTTTCAATGAAAATGGTGCCGAGTTCTAAACTCTTCCTCCTGCTCTCCTGCCTGACCGACTCCTGTGTACCTGCTCCTCAGGGCCTCTAGCTCCCCACTCCATCAGCACAGCCCTCAGTGCATCCTCCATCATGTACTGGAAAATACCAATGATGGAAAGATGGGGACCCAAGAATATTGAATTTTTTTAAAAATCTCTGTTTCTTTGTTCCCCACATGATCAGCAGGCTGGAGGGCAGGGTAGACCCCTGCACAACTCACTTCATGCCGAGTGTGGACAGACCCAGTGTGGTATTGCCCGGAGCCTCACAAGCAAATAGAGGGCGCCTTGACCAACCAGAACCATGAACCCACTTTGAGAGGCGGCGGCATGTGAAGGTACAGAGGATGACAAGGTGACTTGGAGAGACGAGGACTTGGGGAACAGAGGGGTCAGAACATGGCAATTTCACCTCTGCTCTCCTTCGTCCTTCTGCCAGTCTGTGGGATGAGAAGTGGAGCTTTGAACATGATGGTCACGGCGTCAGGCAGAGTGCAAATTGTGATAAATTGCCTTCTACAAGAAATGGACTCTCTAACTTCAACTTTGCCTCATTAAGGACTAATAATTGAAGACTTTTCTGCCTAGTTAATTTTCAGTTCACTAGAACATGCTGTTCTCTGAGCATTTCAGTTGATTAAAGTTAACTGAAATGTCACATAATAGTCTCCTCCATTTTTATAATTATTAAAAAATAAGGCTGGTGTCCTTCCAACACACACATGTGGTGAGGCAGAATCAACATGTCACTAGGAGACTGAATAACAGAACTTGAAGTCCTCTGATATCTACCATCTATAATCTCTTCATTTCTCTGAACTTCCATATCTTCAACCATCACATGAGTTTGGACCCCTATAGCTGAAATCATCATCATAATAAAATGTTTTACAATGCAAGGAATTAATGTATATGAGAGTCCTTGGAACTGGTTATTTAAATCTGCCATTTGTTAGTCATGTATGTTTAATGTAACAACAATAATAGTCCATAATTATGGGGTTATGAAGTGCCACACAGGCCTTGGCCTGCTTAAAACACAGAAACTTATTTAACTGCAAATGAATGACAACAAAGTGCTATGAGGTGGATGTTGTCCCATTTTACAGATCAAGAAACATGGGTTAAGTGACTTACCTTGGCGAGGACATGTAATTCACTTAATGGTGGAGATGGAAACCAAGCTGGGTAATCATATTGCAGCATGTATGAAGCAAGGTATATAAAATAATGAAGTGTGCTATCATTAAATAAATGCCAAATGCAGATAAAACACTGTGGATGTGGCATTTTGTCCTATGTGAATTTTTACCCAATTAACCCAATTATGAAGCAGACTGTGTTCTGGTCAACATAAGTCCTGTTTTAATGCAGCTCTCTCATCAGTGTGTGAAAGAGCTCACCCGATGATCAGGTCAACATTTTAACTAACGTGCCCTGTCATCCGCAGCCAACTGAGCAGAAAGCATTCAGTCCCTGCGGATTGAGGGTCTCTGGCAACAGGATCCCATAGAACCAGATTTCAAAGCAGACGGACCAACACCTGCAGAAGGAACCCCACGAGATGTACTGAGGGGGAGACTCGTGCTGAAGAGGGCACCTGGGAAGTTCATGACTTGGTGACATGTTTTTGGCGAGGAATAAACTTTGCTTGGCCTTCTGAGGCAAGTAAGGGGCTCACTTGGAAGACACACGAGTGGACCACACACTCTAACGGGCACCTCGACATCACATAGCCTGGGTTCAGAAAGTGCTGCTCACAGTGATCCGGACGGCTCCTCACTCCCAGTTTCTGTGGCTCCTGGTCTCTGCGCTCCGCTTCCCTCTGGCTCCAGTCCCTGTTCTTTCCTTTCTGTGTAGATGTTCTTTCCTTTCTGTGCAGATGTGCTCTCTCTGAGCTGTGACTCTAAACCAATGGTGGCCATCCCAACCCAGACTTTGTCATACTTTTATTTGTGACCATCCAACAGAGGCTGGTCAGAAAACCTGAGTCCTCAGTCAAATTCCAGGAAAGAGCTTGAGCCTGGCCCAACTCTAGCCCAAGTGTTCACTTTGATCTAATCACCTCAACACCAGGCGGGG